GGCACATTCACATAGACAACAGCCTTGCTGGAGGTTAAACAAACAAATAGGGATTTCATGCTGTGTATTTTTTCCATATGCGATTTTCTGAGAATCTGGTTCAGGGCCTAGAAGAGGAGCACATTTAAGAAGAAACCTCTGCTAATTCCTCTGAATTTTTGTCTCTTTTAATCTATGGGGTTTTATTGAGCTCTTGCTTTCCAAAGTACAGTAATAACTTTTAATGCTGAAGTAAGTTCCTTTATATAAGTCTTTTTCCTTCTTTAGAAGAAGTGGGAGATGTTGCACCTTAAAATCGTTGCCTGCAGGAGGGTGCTGGTGTAGGCTTTGTCCAAATACTGGGGTTTTGATCGCCCATGTAAGAAAATGTCCTCATGTATGCTACAATACACTCTTACCCTAACACAAGGCTAGAGGCTATTGGCTGCCATGGTGCTCCTCAGCTATGAACACTGACATAGGCTGAGAACAGGACATTATGTCCGAATGTAAAGTTCCGTGCAATCTTATGACTATGGAATCATGGTCATTGTCTTTAGTTCTAGTTTGGCTTCTCAGCTCTGTGCATTCCAGTCAGTTCTTTGGAGCTGTGCTTCAGATTCTGTCTTCCAGAATAATTTCCTCATGTTCTTGAAACTGGCCAAGAGCTTTTGTTGCTGCTGTGGTATCACAAAAGGAAGGAGCTCCTCACTTTATCTGCTACTTTGCCGTTCTCATTTCTCCGAGGAAGCTTTTTTTAGTTGCTTTCCACGTACCAGGAGCATGCACCGAGTGTTTGAAGCAGCAGACGCTGCTGAGTCCATAGTGGTCAGGCTGTACCCGCCCCGTGGTATGAGCTGTTTGTTTCCTGTTTGTAAACGTTGTCATTTTTAACTTCACAGGCATTTCAGCTGGGCCCAACAGAAGCGTCTTACTACTGGGTCTATTGGGTACCCACTCAATATGTTGATGCAATCAAAGACACGGTGCTGGGCAAGTGGCAGTATTTTTGAAAGCACGCTCACCTCTGGCACAGGAAAATGACACAAAGCAAAGGACACTGCTGGGAGAGGCCTCCGACATCCCTGGATGTGACAGTCCTGGAACTTGTTAATAAACCCTGACAAACGAGGCATTGAGGGAAGCCAGAGGTGATGTCCTTTCACCATTAGTTTACTTTTAACTTAAAAATTTCACCATCCCTTTTCTGCAGTCAGCTTCAACCATATTTAAAGCAAATACAATGGAAATCAATAAATCTTAATTCACAAAGTATCATGTGTAATACACTTAAATCTGCTGAGAGTTGATCTTCCAGTTTAGTTTTGAAAAGGAAATATGATGATGTATTATGGAGGATTTTTTACATGGTTTGAACAAAACCAGCTATTTTCATAATCTTTCAGTTAAATTTAATTTCGTGACTTGGTTGTGACTTTCAGAAGCTGTTTTTTTAAGAATAAACTTTAAGCAGTATGCAAACTGATGCTCAGTAAAGCCATATTCTGCGGCCCTTTGGTTTCAGGTTTGACTCTTTGGTAGCAAAACTAATGTTTTCATTATTATTTTAACCCAAAGATGCCCTGCTTCCTTCCCTCCCTCACCGATGTGTTCCATACCAGAAGCTCTGGGTTGGCACTCCATGTAGCATGTTTGGAGCAGATGAACATCACTGTGCTGCTTCCCGCTCCCGTTCATGCCGTGTTAGTTGTTCCTCTCCCACCCTGCACCTCGCTGCTCCTGTCCTGCCCCCAGTGTGATGGTATTGGAGCATTTCCCTGACCCTGCATGCTGTGGTCTAGAGTCCTTCTGCAGCAGTTGCAGTGACACTCACCCGTGTGACTGACAAACCCTCCTGAGCTGCATTGTGCTGCTGGTGAGCACATGAAGCAGCAACACCAGCCTTGGGAGGGAGAGAACCAAAGAGATCTCCCTGCCCTGATGGGGAGGAGAGATGCTCAGATGCTGGTTTGGACCCTCCATCACTGCAGTAGTCTTTTGTGTCCTGGATGTGAAAATGTATAGCAATGTTATTCAGTGAATCCTGCCCAATTCAGAATATCTGTCCAGCAGCTGGTCTCTTGAAGTTGAGATCACCTTTCAGTTTTTCTCTGCTCAAGTTTACAGGAAGCTCTTGCCTCTCGTCCTGTCTGAAGCAGCGCTCCCATCTTTGGCCTCTGAAGTTCTGCCTGTCCTCTCAGCCAGCCACGTGCCATTATCTCAGGTTTCTGATGGACCTTTCAGTCCTGCAAAGGTGCAGACCCTTCGCAGATAGTGCTGGGCAGTCAGGCTCAATCCGCCTGGCTCCGTGTTAAACCTGCATCAGGCAGGTCGCTGTTTAACACTGAACTTGACAGTGCTCAGTGCAAGTAGCTTAACACTCTGTGAACCCATGGAGAAGCCTGTTGGGAATAGCTGGTCTTGGTGTGCTCCATGTCTTGTTTTCTCTTTCCCTAAAGCAGCCCAGTTGAAACTCAGCAGGTGCAGATTCCCAAATGAGTATTTGTTCTGTTTTATTTGAGAGTCTGGGAGAAGCATTCACTTTATGGTATGTGTTATGATTCCGTATTTCCTTGTAAGCTCTTGATAGCAACGTAAGCAGCTTTTGTTTTGTATTTTCAGTCAGACCACCCATGCAATACAAATCTTAGAGGTGTTTTGTATCCTGCCTGTAAACCGGTGATGTACTTGTCACTCCTGTAGCTTGAGGTGTTTCTTTTCTGTACGCAAGCCAGCAGCAGCGTGTCCTGCCCTGCATGCACTGAGATGGGAGCAATTCCTGTCGGGTCCCCAGAGCAGCTTGGAGCTCGCAGTGGAGCTGGAGTGACCGGATGGGAGAGAACACTGCACACTGGATGCTGCTGTCACGCTTCTGATTCATTGCCAGTCCTGCTGTTCAGGCACAATTTAAACTCCAGGACCTGGTGGAGAGCGTATGCACTGCAGCGTAAAGACAACGGTGCCATCAGCTTTCCCTGTCACTTGGGGTCACCTTTGCACTCACCATCTTGTTGGTTCTGTGACCATCAGCTCCCACTTGCTACCTGGCTTGCCTGGACCTGTCTGTCCATCTGCTCATATTCCATTTTCCTTCCCTATCCTCTCGCTGTGTGCTCTGGAACAGGGCATGTATCTCTGTTCCAGCTCCTGCCCAGAGCTCCAGTGTGTCTGTGCCCGCTGCAGTGACGAGGGTGAGCATGCTCTGGTGCTGCAGGAGGGCAGGTACCTGACGCATTGCTGTGAGGACACCACAGGCACGGGGCAATGTGCCACATTCCTGTCTGCTCCTGTCCCAAGGGCACGATTCCTCTGCGTCCTGTGCAGGTACAGCTGCTCATCTCAAAGGGAACTGAGTATAAAGCCCATTGGTTACAAAGCAAGTTCAAACATGGAGAATACTATAAACTAAATGTAATTCTGTTCAGGTGCTTCTTTTTACGTTGGTTTTTATTTGAAAAATGAAATTGTTTCACTCTTTTGTTCTATGTGCAAAGTTTGAATTAAAATACAGGAAAATGATACTTACATAAAATGCTTTACCTGGTGTTCTTTGGCTCAATCCAGTCGGTTTCTTGGGAGTTCTTTGAGATGAATATTCCAACTGAACTTAGCAGCCCCATCTCTAGGATTCTTTCTCTTTCAGAACCATGGGAGCTCTGTATCTTCTGGTGTATCCAGGAGGAGTCCTGCCATGTCCCAGAGCTCCCTGCATGAGCACTGCTGCTCACCTGGGTACATCCCTGGCCTTTCTCCATGTCCAGCACCGTGAGTTCCAGTATTCCCTCCTCTGTGCATCCCAAGCATAAACAGTTCCTGGTGTGGTTTTGTGTTGGAAATGCTGGAGCGTGTCACTAAACCTCGCTTGGGTTGAGCGGACACAGTATCTTGCAGGTAAATCTTGTGTTACAAGTTCATCATCTCAAGTGTAAGATTAAAGTCAATGATTAATTCCCATTAATAGCACTGTTTGAGCAGTGTGTAACTGGAAGAAGGAGCTCACAGTGATGGGAGAGAAAATGATGTGAATTCAAAGAACTCTCTATGAGCCTGTTCACATAAAGCAGCTGTAGTGGTCACACACAGCATCAGGCTGCCCACAGCCTGTGATTGTGGCTTCCCCATGCTCCAAGGGCTGAAGAGAAGTGACCTGCTCATGGTGATGGTGTGTGGTGTTGGGGTTAGTCCCAGGTGCTCCCGCAACGAGGCCTCTTCCCAAAATTCCTTCTTTTGTTGACTGTTTCTCCCTCTGTAACTGTTTTTTCTCCATGGAGCAGTTCCCATTCCCAGTTTTGTCCCTCACCTTTCCCCACGTTAGGATCAGGTCCTCAGCATCTTGTGTTCATTGCTGTCATCACAGGAGAGGAAGGGGAGGACCCAGAGGCCTGTAGCAAGTCTTGTCTGAAACCTGTCACCATCTTCCCTTCTAGTCAAGGCCTCTCTCTCCTTGGCCCCTGGAAGCTCACTCTGTCTTACCCGGACTCGAAGCAATTCAGTCTTTGGGTTTATATTAAAAGCCTTAGGTATTTGTGTCCACTCCAGGTTTATTTAAACGGAACATGTACCATGTCTGATGGTATCTTTAAATAATCTTGCCTATTTCAGGGGAGGGAGATGACAAATATTTAGTCTTAGACTTGCACTGGTGCATTTTCCTAAGTGTAACCTTGCCTGGTTGTCCCGCTGGTTCATGCTGTAAGGTCAGTCTTACGGATTAAAGTCTGATAATTATTGCTCTGTTTGCTTCGACAACGCTTCTGCCTAAGAGCTCATCATCTCAGTCTCCCCTCTGGCAGGTTAAAGCCAAAGACAGCCTTGTCCTGTCCCTACAGGCCCTTGTCCCAAGCCCCTCTCCAGGTTTCCTGTAACCCCTTTAGGCACTGGAGCTGCTCTAAGATCTCCCCTTCAGGAGCCTTCTCTGAAGCAGCCCAGCTCTCTCAGCCTGGCTCCATGGCAGAGGAAGAGCCCTTCAGCTCCAGCGGTCGGGGCAGGGCTCTGGCCCCAGCTCCGCTCTCCCCTCAGCTGAAGCTGGATGCCACGGGACGGGGTCCGGGCAGAGCCCCGCGCACCCGGGCGGGGCGGCGGGAGCCGGTGCGGGGGGGACCGGGGGAGGGCAGGAAGCCGCGTCCTGGTCCCGCCCCGGCCCCGCTGACTCACGACGCGGCGATAAGAGCGGCCCGGCCCGGCCCTGCACGCCGATGCCCCGGGATGTCCGGTACGCGCGGGCCATGGGCGGCCCCGCCGCGCCGCTGCCCCGTGGGCTCCCGCTCCCGTTGCCGCTGCTGCTGCTGCTGCTCCCGGCGCAGGTACCGCGAGGGGCGGGTGCGCGGTACCGGGACCAGGGGGGACCGTGGCGAGCGCGTCCGTGTCCCCCGGGCTGGCAGCGCGGGCAGCGGCGCCGTCGGGAGCGGGTCCGGGCGCAGCGGGAACAGCCCCGTGCGCGAGGCTCCGGCGTGCGGGAGCGGGGAACGCGCCGGGAGTGAGCGGGGAGCCCGGGGTCCAGCCCCCGAGGGCGCAGGGTGCGGGTGAGGCTCTGCGGGGCCCCGTGGCCGCGTTAATGGTGTTGGCAGCAGCGTGCGGGACCCGGCGCCCGCAGCACCGCGCAGATGCTGTCCTCTGACCATAGAAGCGATTCCAGCGCCGAGTCTGACTGCGCTGAGCGGAGCCGAGGGCCCGTCCCTGCCTGCTCCTGCCCGCAGAGCTGCTGCCGGGCCGGGAGCGTTGGCAGCGCTGCCGTGGCAAAGGGGCCGTGTTCCTGGTTGTGCTTCACTGTCCCTTTCCGTCACTGGGGAAGCGAATGTGCCCCAAGCCCGTGGCTGAGGTCCAGCATCGCTGCAGGCTCCAGGGTGACGTGGTGGGAGCCTCGGGAAGCAGAGGTCCTGGGGACATCCCATGGGAACAGCAGCTGCTCTCCTGGGCTGCTGGGGCAGCGGGGCTGGGAGCGGAGGGGAGGGTGGCAGCTCCCGGCGGTCCCAGTCCTGCCCGTGGTGCTGTGTGCGAGCTGCTGGGCAGCCCGGCCTTTCTTTGGGTGCCCTGACACCGGAAAGCTTTAGTTGCAGAAGGGATGGAAGGAGCTGCAAAGCATCAGGACAGGGAGAAGCAGAGCAGGTGAGCGCAGAGCGCTGCGCTCTGACCGCTGTGAGGTGGGCTCTGTTCTATTCCCTGATGCAGTGGCCACTCCACGAGAGCTCCGTGTTTGCTACCCTGCAAGAAGGGCAAAGGGAAGAATTGGTCTTGGCACAGAGGGGTTGCTGTGAGGAGCGCTGGGAGGGAGCTGGTGCTGATGGGGGCCAGGGTGTGCACAGACCATCAGCCAGCGCCTGCTTGGTGGCCTGGCTGGGTCCAGAGCAGGTCAGAGGCAGCACAGGGGCTGCACAGGCACGAGGGTGCAGCAGGTTCCTCTCTCTGTTCTGCCTGGCGCCGCGCTGGCACCCGGGACGGCGGCTGCAGCCCTGCTTCTGCCCGGAGCCGCTCGGGTCCGGGGCTGTTTGCGGATCCCTGTTTGCCCATGGGGTGTGTGCGCGCTGCCGGCTGAGCTGGCGCTCGCTGTACGGCTGCTGGGCTGGGGAGCAGCAGCTCCGCTTCCCCGCGTGTGTTTGCAGTGACCTCCTCCACGTCAGGGCAGCCGACACCCGGGCTCCGAGCCCCCGGGGGAGCGCTGGCTGCGTTGCTGGCATGAAAAGTCACCCAACTCGTTTGTTTCTGGAGGGAGCCGGGAGCTGGGCTGCTTGTGTCACTTGTGGGAAGGCGCCAGGAGTCACGGCAGGGAGCAGCCGTGCTGCGGCTCATTCCCACCGGCAGCAAAGCCGGATCCAGGGGAGAGGCGCTGGGCAATGGGAACTTGTCCCCAGGCCTGGCCCTGCTGCTCCCTAAGGACCGTGTTCCTGCCCGCAGTGCCTCAAGGGCGGTGCTGTGACTGTCCCAGAGACGCTGCTCTTTGTATCCACTCTGGATGGAAACCTCCACGCAGTGAGTAAGAGCACAGGGGACATCAAGTGGACCCTCAAGGATGGTGAGTGATGCCTGGGGGGTGCTTGCTCACACCCAGCTCCTGGGGCTCGGCTCTAGCTGGGTTCGGGGGTGCAGCCCCAGCCTGGCTCTCTGGGGTTCGTCCATGCCAGGGATGCTGCCGGCTCCAGCTCGAGGCTCAGCTGTGCTGGAGCAGAGCATGAGCCGGGGGTGCTGGTTCTGGGTCTGCAATGCAAACAGGCAGCGCTGAGCAAACACCGCTGTGCTGCGCCCCGGCAGGGAGAGGCTGCTGACGTCTGCTTTCCCTCTCTTCCAGATCCCATTCTGCAGGTGCCAGTCTATGTGGCAGAGTGAGTGTCAAACCCCGGGCACCGGCACCGGCTGTGCCTGTTTTGGTGCACAACTGCCTCGAGGAGCCTGCAGTTCACAGCAGGGGAAGGGAGCCCCGGGGACATGAACCTCCCAGCTCACACCATGGCATTGCCTTGACCTACTCCCTGTGTTAGCCCTTTGTGCACACCAATGAGCAGCAGCTGCTCCCTGCTGCTGAGCTGCAGCGCTTTACAGCCAGGAGCTCTCAGCACCACCACACATGAAAGGAGGGAAATAGAGGAAAATCCACCTGGAAGAGCAGGGGCACAGCGGGATTGCAGGGAGCAGGGCACGGAGCCAGCAGGGGCAGTAGGTGCAGGGCAGCCCTATGGGGTTACGGAGCTGACCCACAGCAGGAGCTCATCTCCCAAATCTAGCTCTGGAGGTTCCAGGAAAGGCCAAGCCCCGCAGTGAGCACCCTGGAGCAAAGCGCCATGGGGGTTCATTAGTGCAGCTCCGCTTCAGCCCTTGGCCTGTGCCCAGGGATGCTCACGTTTCACCTGCTCTCTCCTTTCCAGACCAGCGTTCCTCCCAGACCCCAATGATGGCAGCCTGTACATCCTGGGGGGGAAGAACAAGGAAGGCTTGATGGTGAGTGGGGCTGGGGGCTGCCTGCATCCTCCCTGCCCCCCTGGGGGCTGCAGACCAGTCAGAGCTTGACGGGGCAAGCATGGGGCTATTGGTTGCTCCAGCTTGTCCTTGTCACCAGAAAGGTATCAGCTGGGATCCGTCCTTCTCCACTGTGCCATCCTGAGCCATGAGGGCAGGGGAGGAGGAGGAGGGGGTTTGCGGGGACATATCCTTCCTGCCCTGCTCCTGACAGCAGGAATGCTGCTGCTAGGGCAGGCCCCGCATCCTCTCCTCTGTGTTCTTGCAGAAGCTCCCATTCACCATCCCAGAGCTGGTGCAGTCCTCGCCTTGCCGCAGTTCGGATGGGGTGCTGTACACCGGTACGGAGGAGCAGGAGGAGGAGAGGGGACCCCGGGAATGCATCCACGGAGGGGAGACTGGAGGAAGCCTGAGGGTGTTTGTCAGGGATGGGCACTGGAGCAGCGGAGGCTTGGAAAGGTGTTCTCATTGCCAGGGAAGAAGCAGGACACGTGGGTCATCGTGGACCCCAAGTCAGGGGAGAAGCAGACCACGCTCTCAACAGAGGCCTGGGACGGTCTGTGCCCATCCAGTCCCCTGCTCTACATTGGCCGGACCCGTAAGTCAGCCCTGCTCCCTGTCTGCATCCATCCCTCCGGAGCCAGGAGCGGGGCGCTGGAGGCGACCTCGTGCCCTGCTCGTGTCCCAGAGTACATCATCACCATGTATGACACCAAGTCACGGGAGCTGCGCTGGAACGCCACCTTCTCCGAGTACTCAGCACCGCTCTGCGAGGAGCAGTACCACTACAGTGAGTGGCCATGGCCATGGCAGGGTTTGGGGGGTGAACTGGGACAGAGCCCTGTGGTAGCACCACGGCATCGCCCCGTCCTCTGCCCTGCCCAGAGATGGCTCACTTTGCATCCAGCGGGGACGGGCTGGTGGTGACGCTGGACAAGGAGAGCGGGGAGATGCTGTGGGCACAGAACTACGGCTCGCCCGTGGTCGGCATCTACGTGTGGCACCAGGACAGCCTGCGCCGCGTCCCCCACCTCAACCTGGCCATGGAGACCCTGCGCTACCTCACCTTCCACTCGCAGGACATCTACGTCCCCAAGTGGAGCCACCAGTCCCTGAAGGACTTCACCAGCACCAAGACCCAGCTGCTGTATGTGGCTCCTGCGCTGGCGGCATTGGCATTCGCGCTGCCTGTGCTTGGATCCGTGATGGGCGGAAGGCTGAGGCTTGTCCCTGCCTTGCAGGCCAGCGCTGTACGTGGGGAAGCACGCAGCCAGCTTCTATGCCCTGACATCCCTGGTCCACAGCAGCGTGGCGCTGGTGGTGAGTGCCTGCGGCGGTGTGCTCGCGCTGCGGTGGCCTGCCTGCGTGGTGCTCCACAAGCTGTGGCTCCCAGCCGCAGGGCATCACGCTGGCCAGGATCGACGGCCCCACCACGGAGGAGGTGACCATGAGGGAGTCGGGGGAGTGCGAGATCACACCCAGCACTGACGTCAAGTACCCGCAGGGCAGCATCACCGCGCTCCGCAACCAGTGGCTCCTCATAGGTGCGGACCCGCATGGGGCTCGGATGTGTCCCTGGGGTGCCCTGGGGAGGGGAGCTGAGCCGGCAGCTGTCTCTGTTCTCCTCCCACCACAGGGCACCATGAGCTGCCCCCCGTGGTGCACACCACGATGCTGCGGGCGTTCCCAGAGAACCTGCGGAAGACGACAGAAACCATCATCCCCAGGGCCCCGTCTGCCAGGACCCTGTTCGATGATGTGAGCGGCAAAGCTCTGTGGGATCCCACCTCTGCACTGCGGGAACCCCAGCCGGTGCTGGGTCCCTGAAGGGCTGGGGTTGGGTGCTGGGTCCCCAGTGTGGGGTCACACAGAGAGGGGGCCCTAAACCCAAGTGCTCAGCATCTGTCCCCTGGTGCCAGCCCAGCCCCGGTGTGTGTTGCAGTTCCTGGCCCCAAGCAGTGCGGAGGAGCCGGCCCTCCGCAGCGAGGAGCAGTTCCCATCGGATCCTGCACCAGGGGAGCAGATGGAGGTGTACCCTGATCCCAGTGCATGGGACCTGGTGATGGCTGCTGTGGGCACGGCTCTGCTGGGCGGGGGGGTCCTGTTCCTCCTGTTCACAGTGAGTGGTGGCAGTGGAAGAGCCCACTGCTCCCGAGGGGATGGGACTCCCTCCCTGGTCATCCCCATGGCTGCGGCACGGTGCACACAGTGCCCACAGTGAACCCTGCTCTGGGCGCTGAGCGCTGCCGTGGTCTGTGTTGCAGAGGCTGCAGAGGCAGCACGTGGAGCAGCAGCAGCAGCTGGAGAAGCAGATTCAGCTCCTGCAGCAGCAGCAGGAGATGCTGCTGCCCGGCCGGGCCTCCAGGGAGGCTGCTGCTGCGGAGCCGGGGCTGAGCCAGGGCAGCGCATCCCAGCCCTCACAGGGCCCCTCAGCCCACCAGAAGGAGCTGGCTAATGGGACAGCCAGCCTGGATCCCGCTGCGCCGGCGGCCGCTGCAGGTGTGTGCAGTGGGAGCGGGCAGGGTGTGAGGGGCTCTGTCTGTGGATGTCACCCGAAGCAGGAGCAGAGATGCCCTGAGACATCTGCTGCAGCCCCACTGAGATGGGAGGAGATGCAGGATCTGCTGCTGGAGAAGTGTGGGCTACAAAAGCAATTGCAGGAGTTGAGCCCAAGGAACATTGAGCTGGTTAAAGAGCTGGTGTCCTCCCTACAGGACCAATGCTCACAGGTTGCAGGATAGCTGTCTTCTCTTCCTCTGCAGATGCAGAACCAGACATGGTTGTGGTTGGGAAAGTTTCCTTTAACCCCAAGGATGTGCTGGGCCACGGAGCTGGAGGAACCTTTGTCTTCAGGTGGGTGTCCCCAGGGTGCCCTCATTCTGCTCCTCTTCTCCCTGAGAACTTTAGAGGTTGAGTTGCCACCTTCCCCTTCTTGTGGTCCTCATCGTATGGGTGGGTACGCAGGGCAGGTCTGACCCTCACACCACTGCCTCATCCTCTCCTTCCCTGGTGCTCCAGCCCCTGTTGAGGTTCCTCTGGCTCTGAGCCTCTTTCCCCAGCACTAAACACAGCAGAGAGCAAAGGGATGTTACTGCCCCACAACAAGGGGAACCCGAGCGCCCCGTGTGCAGCACAGTGCAGGGATTCCTGCCTGCCCATGGCTGTGACAAGCCTTTGGAGTCGCTCTAAGGTGACCCATGCTGAGGATCCCAGGGTCCCGGCTGGGCTGTGCTCCGGCCCTGGAGCCCCATGCACAGACACAGACCCACGCAGGGGACGGTTCGAGGGCCGGAACGTGGCCGTGAAGCGCCTCCTGCCCGAGTGCTTCCACCTCGTGGACCGCGAGGTCCGGCTGCTCCGGGAGTCCGACGAGCACCCGCACGTCGTGCGCTACTTCTGCACCGAGAGGGACAAGCAGTTCCACTACATCGCCATCGAGCTCTGCTCCGCCACGCTGCAGGAGGTGAGCCCACGCCGTGAGCACCCTGCTGCTGCTGCAGGCAGTTCGCTGCAGGGGAAATAGGTGCTGACTGGTGGACCTGGAAACAGCAAGGCTGGGGTGCAAATGACCTCCGCATGGGCTTGTCTCCATCCACCTCTGCCAGCCCAGCGAGCAGCATCTCCTGGCAAGCCCTGCTTCTTTGCCCCGGTTCATCTCTTTCTACCTCTGTGTGGTTCCAGTATGTGGAAAGCCCCAGCTTTGACCGCCGTGGCCTGGACCCGGTGTCTCTGCTGCACCAGACCATGTCAGGGCTGGCTCATCTCCACTCCCTCAGCATTGGTGAGCGGTGGCACGGAGCATCCTGGCTCCATCCCGTCCTCACGCAGCGGTTTGGGTGGCTGACACCGAGCGCTCTCTCTTCCAGCCCATCGTGACCTGAAGCCCTGTAACATCCTCATCTCTGTCCCAAACCCCCACGGGCAGATCCGAGCCGTCATCTCCGACTTTGGCCTCTGCAAGAAGCTGCAGGGGGGACGACAGAGCTTCAGCCTCCACTCTGGCATCCCTGGCACCGAGGGCTGGATCGCACCCGAGGTGCTGCAGGAGGCTCCGAAGGAGAACCCGGTCAGTGAGACATGGATCCCCCCTGGTGCTCCTTGAGCCAGCCCAGTACAGAGAACCAGTGCTCCATGCCAGGACCCACCTGAGCCCTGTGTCCAGCACTGGGCACCCCATCCAAATGCAGTCCTTGGAAGTTCAGGATGGGGAGGTTGGAGAGGGCCATGGCTTGCTATGGAGGTCACCCTTCTGCTTGTCTGCTTAGTGCAGGGAATCCTGTTCCTGCTGGAAGCCAGTTGCTGTACTGGTCCCTGGCAGGGCACACATACTGGTGCTGGCAACATGTTCCACATACCCTCATGGTGGGTTTGGTTTGCACAGCAGGGTGAGACTCGGTGTGTCCATCCTGACTTCTGTCTATGCCTCTGAAAGCCTCTTCCCTGATCAGGACCTGGTGTAATGCATTTTCCAGCATCCCTGTAGCCACTGACCAAGTGTTCACATAAAAGAATGGGGAAGCAGGGAGGTGAAAGCTTTCCTTGCTTTTTGCTATGAGGATCCCATCTCCTTTCACGTCGTGTGTTGCAGACGTGTGCTGTGGACATCTTCTCAGCCGGCTGCATCTTCTACTACGTGTTGTCAGGGGGACAGCACCCATTTGGGGACAGCTTGCGGCGACAGGCCAACATCTTGTCAGGCTCTTACCAGCTGAGCTGCCTGGAGGAAGAAGCTCATGGTGAGACCCTTCCCAAGGGCACAGCCCCATGATAAAGCCCTGAGCCGAGAGGCGCAGCTCCAGGTCCTGCTCGGGGTGTGCTGGTTCTCCCTTGTGTTGTTTCACCTACCAGACAAGCTGGTTGCAAGAGACCTGATTATGGCAATGATCAGCCCTGAGCCCCAGCACCGGCCCTCGGCCCCCGTGGTCCTTGTGCATCCCTTCTTCTGGAGTCAGGAGAAGCAGCTGCAGTTCTTCCAGGTGAGCGGGCAGTGGATGTAAGTGTGCTTTGAACGAGAGCTGGAGATGGCTGTGTTCAGGTCAATGTGCTCGTTTGAGCTGCCTTGGGAAGCAGTGGGGGGGTCCCTGGGTTTGTGTCCCCCTTGGCACCGGCTCTGTTCCCTGGCAAGGGCAGGGCTGTGCCCACCCCATCCCTGCTCTTGGGTGCAGGACGTCAGCGACCGCATCGAGAAGGAGCCCGCTGAGGGGCCCATTGCCTCTGCCCTGGAGGCGGGCGGGCGGGCGGTGGTGAGGACCAATTGGAGGATGCACATCTCCCTGCCGCTGCAGGCCGGTGAGCGCAGGGGCAGCGCTGCCCTGGCTGTGCCGCGGGCTCTGCTGCTCGCTGCCATCGCTGCTCCGGGGCAGCCCCTCGCCCTGCCCCGTCCCCCCTCGCTCAGCATCTCTCCTGCTCTCCCCAGACCTGAGGAAGTTCCGCACCTACAAGGGGGCCTCGGTGCGAGACCTGCTGCGGGCCATGAGGAACAAGGTTCGTGCCCCCCCCGCTCCCTGCTCCCCAGATGCCGCCGGCGCCGCTCACTGACTCCCTCCTGCAGAAGCACCACTACCACGAGCTGCCGGCCGAGGTCCGCGCCGCCCTGGGCTCCGTCCCCGATGCCTTTGTGCACTACTTCACCTCCCGCTTCCCCCGGCTGCTGCTGCACACACACGGGGCCATGAGGGTCTGCGCCCACGAGCGGCTCTTCCGCTCCTACTACTGCCAGGGGCCGGCAGGCGATGGGAAGTGAGCAGGATGCACCCCGGGACCGCGCCAGGCTCCGCGGCCGCTTGTCCCTGGAGCAGCCCCGGGCGCTCTCCGGTGTCCCTGTCTCCTCCATGGGATGATGGGGGTCTCAGGACCGGGTTGCTCAGTGTGCAAGTGGGTTACAAGCAGCATGACCCAGAGGAGCTGAGCACGGGGCAGCGCTGCTCCTGCCCGGGCTCTCCTGAGCCCAAGAGGGATCCTCCGGGACACCCGCCTTTGCAAATGCTTGCCTGAAAGCACCTGCATCAGAGATCCGGTGGCTGCCGGTGGACACGGAGCTTCGGGAAGGAAGAAGCAAATGCGCTGTATTTGCCTGAGGGTGGCTGCAGAGCAGGGCACCAGCAGAGCAGCACAGGCAGGCTGGGGCCAGGTCCCAGCAGGGCGCGCAGTGGGGATCAGGGAGCTTCACCCCGTGCCACATGCCTGGGAGAGCGGTTCTCTGAGTGCGTCCAACCTGGCTGTGACCTGGACTGATAACTTCTTCATAGCATCAGACTGGTCAGGGTTGAAGGGACCTTAAAGCTCCTCCAGCTCCAACCCCTGCCACGGGCAGGGACACCTTCCACTGGAGCAGCTTGCTCCAAGCCTCACTCTTGACACTGGAGGTGATCCCTCAGCACAGCAGAGGCACACCAGGTCAGCTCCTGGTACCACCCCAGGGCTGCTGAGGACAAGGCAGCACCAACCTGGAGGGGGCTGAGGGGCCTCCAGGACAATCCCAATAATGAAGTTTTTAACCTCAGCTGGGCTGAGAAATGCTTTTGTCCCTTTTGGTTGCTGCAGCCTGTGACCAGGCCTGGCCCAGAGCAGAGTGGTGCAGCTCTGGGAGCTGTTGTCCCAGGACACCAAGGCAGGGATCACCCCCGGGATCCTCCCATCTGTTACCCCACAGCCTCCCTGCTGCCCCAGGGCTGTTCTGGTTTATAGCATCCCCGTGGGCATGTATTTAATGCAGCAAGGTTTCCTCTTGGGAATGGCAATAATTGTGTACAGTGTGATTCCTCTGTGCCGGGGTGTGGGATTTTGTCATGCAGGTAACAAGGGGTTTGTACCTGGTTTCTTTTCAGGATGCTGTATGGTCTAGAGCCTTTTATACTAAATGTTATTAAAAAACAACTGAAGAGCTTGTCCTGCTTAAAAACAAACTGGTTGGAGAGCGCCAGGAGGTGCTGGCAGGGACAAGAGCAGGAAGAAACACAGGGTACTTCACTGGGCTCCTGCAAATGGAGCTAATGCCACAGGAGGTGGGGGCCACTAGCCTGCAGTCCTGCTCAGCACAGCCCTGATTCCCCAGCACTGGCAAAGTAACTTCACTCTACCAAGCATCTCCCAGAATGACTTAACCCCCTCCCCACATCTCCCATCGCCCCAGTTCCCTCTTGCTCTGTGTTGAGGTGGAGCCGAGTGAGGAGCAAGCGCTGAGCAGGAGCTCAGGCAGAGCACTGCTCTTACTTGGAGGGGAAGCCAGAAGCAAGGAGCTGGTGTCGCACCCAGCGAGGCACAGGGAGCCAGGCCAGGCTGGACAGTACACCGAACAGTCTTTATTCAAGTTCTGCAATATACAAAAGTTGAGGTTTCATGTAGATTAATTTGTTTTAAAAGGCTGATTGCTCAGTCTCACCCTGGGCATGTTAAATAGCTTACCTGAAGGTCTCAAAAGGGAACAAAGGCCACATAGGCGTGTACAAATAACGTACACGATAGTTCTGCTCTCCCCATGCTTTGGTCTCAAAAGGCCCAGGAGCCTCAAAGACGGTGGTTTTTGAGCTTTGGGAAGTTAAAAAACAACCCCACTAGGTATGCAGTTAAAAAATGTTTTCTATTACAAGTGGGAGCAAGAAACCTTTGGGTACCAGAGTGAACAACACTGTTCCCACAGCATCAGGCACTTCCTTGTGGCAACCAGACCATACGTGGGGGGGAAGCCCAGCTGTGCGGAGGGAGTGTGAGCAGGGATGCTACCAGACCTCCCCATCCACAGCTGGGATGGTTTGGCACAGATGTGGAGTCCATCAAGAGCAAGGTCTAAACAGAGGGTTTCGCAGCAGCTGAGCCAGACTTGGAGGTGAGGAGCTTCTCCACCATGGTGCGAGCGTAGCTGAGCCGGCTGGCCAGCTCCTTGCAGCACCCGTGCTCCTCGATGAGGCTCAGCTTGTACGTGCGGAAGTCCCGTTTCTCATCTATGTACGTGACAGCAGCCATAAGAGGGCACAAGATGACCTTGGTGTGGTCCTGCGGGGAGAGAACACACGGTCACCCCGAGCTCTCTGCTCCCGAGGGCTATCGCAACAGCAGCTGGGGCATCCCAGCATTCAGGAACTACAGCAAAGAGGAACACAACAATGCGGCCAAGCAGACTGTGCACAGCCTCCCTCCTGCTGGACACAGCCCCTCACGAGCAAGGAGTGTCTGCATGGCGTGCACATACCCACGATGGAAGCAAGGAGCTCACTGGGCAAAGCTCTGGCTCAGGCCATGCCCTCCTCCTGCCCCCCCATCCCTGTGTGCAGCTGGAGCTGCAGCCCTGGACAACGCAGAGCAGCTGCCTCACCTTGAAGAAGTTGATCTGCACGGTGCCGTTGCTGAGGTGCAGGGTGATGGCTCTGCGGGTGCGGAACCACGTGCAGAGGTAGGGCAGCCGGGCCAGCTCGTCCCCCTCCCGAGGGGTGATGTTGGCGCCCGCCTTCAGCAAGTGCTCGCTCATGTAGTTCCGGAAGTATTTCAATAGCTCTATCTGCGGGTGGGAGAGGCTGTGAGCGGGCCGAGGGGGGCACAGGGGCTGCTATCACAGACCCAGAGCCTCCGCGCAGCTCAGAGCCTGAGATGTCCCTGCACAAGCTTGTGCAAATCCTGATACTCAAAGTTGACTCAGTCTGCGGTACTCGAGCCTTGCTTTGCTGACACTTCGGTGCATACAAGCACTCATTTCTGTGAAGCTGCCCATAAAGGAGCCTCGGACAGCAACCAGAAATGAACACTCAGAGCTGCCGGTGTCTGCCCTTGAGGCTGTGTTTTACCAGCCAGGAGGAAGCCTGCAGAACACCGGTGACCCTGAGGTACAGCTGCTTCTCCCTGCCAAAGCCCAGCGAGACTGGCATCAGTCTCACCATCAGCCCCCCAAGCAAGGCTCCTGCCCCTGGCACTGACCTTTTTGTTGAGGGCAGAGGGGTAGGATCTCACAGTGAAGTAGGACTCGGTGCCTTTTTGCTCAATGTACTGCAAGCTGTCCCCATCACTGTACATTATCAGATGAGTGGAGTCGTTGAAGAGAACTCCAACGCTGTTGTCACACAGCTGGTAACCTGGTGCAAAAGGGAGCTGCCTGTTAGACCTTCAAACGCATGGGACCATGGGTTGTGTGGAATACAAAGGCAGGTTGTATCACCCAGGGGTTCCCTGACAGCCACCCCCCCAAGTCCCTGCCAGGTCTAAGGAGTCTCCTGTTTGGTGAGGTCTTCTGGATTTGTCATCCTCCCTTATGCATCCCCTGCTGCAGAAACAACTGCAGCTGCTGCAGTGGGTGCTGTGCTCCCTCATCAGCCATCTTACCCAGATGACAGCCATCTCCCACCTTAAGGTGGCCAGGGCTAACGCTCAGTGACCACTGCTCTGGATTCACTCATGATTTGGTAACGTTTCTGGCAGCAATCTTACACACACACTATTGAGTAAAGAACCAGACCTGTGCAATGCCCAAACCCAAGCTTCCCCAGCTTCTTCAGACACTAAAAAAGGCTGAAACATTGCCCCCACGTCATTTACCTAAACCATATTTATCCGAGTAGTCCACCCATTTGCTAACCCAGAAGATGGGAATGCAGGCTGGGTCCTCAGCTTCTTCTGCAAAGAGGAAAGGAGTTTGTTAGGCGACATTTCACAGCACCCTGTGCACCCCAGTGAGCAGGCAATGCCTGAAGGAAGGCAAGCAGCTACCCACCTTGCCTCACCACCAGTCTTTCAGAGGGCTTGGCCAGGTTGACTGCAGTCAGCTGCTGTAACATGTCAGCTAAATGGGTGTCAACACCATCCCCCAGCTCCCGCAGCGCAGCGACATCTTCCTTGTCAGGCAAGCTCTCCAGTGCTGGGCCATCTCGTCCTGGGCCAGCAAAGAGAAGACGCTGGATGAGTGACCAGGTTCCTATAGGCACCAGCTGCACCTCCTACCCCAGCTATAGAGAACACAACACACAGCACACAGCTAAAGCTACTGCTGGCACTTCCTCCCTGCCTTAATGCTGGGCAGAGTGAGGAGACCTCTCTTGCTCACGGAATGCTCCAGGTTTTCTTAAGAACGGGGAGAAGGGGCGAGGGATCACCACATCCCCATGGACTGTTCTGGACATTGCTGCAGCCCAGCCCCACCTCCAGAGGCTCACACTTACCTTTGTTGATCTCAGTCAGCGGCTTTCGCCCGCCCGGTTCAAGCCCACTGGGAGCAATGGAAAACCTAGGAGCAATGGTGAGGCAGCTGGTGGGCAGGCGGCTGGGGATGTATCCCGACGTGAAGAACTCGTCATTCAGCAACTCGTCGATTGTTGGGCGCGTGGCAGGGTCGGACCTCAGCATCTTCTGGATGAGGTTAGCAGCTACAGGGTTGATGTGCTGAGAGGACACAGAGACAAGGGTCAGGGGACAACGTGCATGAGTGGATGCGCAACCCAGGGAAGTTGTGCTTGGAGCAGAGCTCCTGCGCTGCTCCCAACAGCGTGTAAAGCCTGGAGTTAACTGACGTTAGCAAGAGAACTCACAGCAGTGGAATGAGCTGGGGACCTGGCCCAAGACTCTTGGACTTGAACACATCCGTTAAACCCCACTCACCAACTGCCCGGCTCAGGCTTTTGCTGGACTGGGGGGCAGGGAGCTCTGAAACGTCCCCTTTCACAGCACTCTGGGAGCTCACCATTACGTGAGAGCCCGTTAAGCGCTAGAAACAGGATGGGCAGCAGAAGGCTGACCAAGAACTGCTGCAAGGTGAGACCCACCCACAAGGGCCATACCTTGGGAATAGTATATTGGTTCTTCTTGATTCGGATGTAGGTTTCTTTCAGAGAAGGCGTTTCAAATGGCGGTTTCCCCACCAGCAGAGTGTACCTGTGTGTTTGGAGATGAAAGGGGGTCAGCTCTGCAACAGACACTGTGGGGCTTGTGCGCAGTGACCTTCTCCTAAGCACACCCTGGGATTTCCCTAGCAGGGGGAACACACTCAGCATTGGACATGCAGAGGTGCAGACTGGGCCTGGTTGCTGCCCAAAGGGAAGCTGGGAGCTGGCACCCCCTGGAGAAAGGTCTGTAACAGGAAGCACAGGCTTTCGGTAAATGCCTCGCGACAGCCATGCTGTGCAGACACAGCGGCACCAGTGCCTGTGGAGCACAGGGTGTGCTGCTGGCATCAGGCACTCTGGACACAATGAGGAGCTTTTGCTCAGACCGAAAACCTGGAGGAGCCAAAGGAGCAGGACCACAGGGACCAACTGCCCGCCCCACGGCTGTACAGGAGGAACCTTGACTTACGTGATGCAGCCGATGGACCAGATGTCCACCTCGAAGCTGTGCCCCTTCTGGCCCAGCACCTCTGGAGCAATGTAGTTGGGGGTCCCACACAGGGTCATCTTGCGCTCGCCATCATACTCTACTTTGGTGGCCAGGCCAAAGTCACCTGGGGAAGACAGGGTTTGACTGGAGATGCCCTGGATGGCTGGTCCCTGGGGTGGGGTCCCATGGGGGCAGCCATGGGGAGGGCATCACACCACGGATACCTACCGATCTTCACCTCCATGTCATCGCTGAGGAAGAGGTTGGCCAGCTTGAGGTCGCGGTGAATGATGCGCTGGTTGTGCAGGTACTGGCAGCCCAGGATGATGTGGCGCAGGTAGTACCGCACCTCGGGCTCGCTCAGCGCCTTCCGCCGCTTGTGCAGCTCCAGCAGCGACTGTGGGGGAACAGGGCGGTCAGCACCGGGGGGACAATCAGTACCGGGGGACAATCAGTACCGGGGACACCGACCCACATCCCCCCCCACCCACCGGGTCCTGCCGCCCTCCGGCCCCTCACCCTGCGTCGGCAGAGCTCCAGCACCACGTAGACGAAATCATCGTCCTCGAAGAAGCCCTGGAAGCCCACAAC